GCTTGAACTAGTCCGGACAGATGCCGATTTATAGTGCTAGCTCACTGAGATACCATGCGGCAGTTTAACATGAATACCCCACTCAGACACAGTATACTGACTCCGAGTCCACCAGTCCTTGTTTTAGCCCCTTAATGCCGAGCGCCAGACAGGGTAACAACAAGTACCATCTTTCAACGTCTTTTGGTATGACGCGGCCGGGGATCGAACCCCGGACCTTCCGCTCTCTGGGCGGACGCTCTACCACAATTGATTGAATACTTTGATATGAGGAGAGTTTGGCAGACAAGTGGTAAAATGCATGGCCAAAACTTTAATTCCAATATGGATGCCAAAACGATGCCATTTGGCTACATGGTACGTAGAGAAAAAATGTCATGCAGCTTTTGAATGCCAAATTTGAGATAGTTCTGAGATAGTTCTGAGATAGTTGCCGGTAAAAGTTGCTTTCAGTGAAGTAATTTTGAACTATATGCCCATGGTCATTGAGCCGAGAACCTTTGGAATGTTGTGGTATCTGCTTCACTTAGTAAGGAAACATGACAGATGATAAATATATGACACTTTTTTTATAGAAAACACCCACTGCATTAGATCACCCGTATTTACATAAGGTTCGATTAATGTACAGAAAGAGCATTATTTTAACTATCCTGACCACGATATTTCCTGGCAAACCCATATTCTCAATCAAGGATATGCTCATGTCTATAGTGTCTTTAGGGGACCCACCATGGCTAATGGTAATAAAACTTATAACATGACGAACGCAGATAAATAGTTAACTGTAAACATGATAAATTAATAGTCAAAGTTAAAATATCCTTATCATGTTGAGAGACAAAAGGGTGTTCCCACCACTTAATTTAAATAACCCCGCTGCCCTCATCTCACCCTCTTTCGAATAATACCATGGCAACAGGGAGCTCCAAATGCAGCTCAGAGTTCCATAAAAACTTGGCGTGCAATCAAGAACTCTGTATGAACAGCGATCAGTTTGATAATACCACTTTTCTAAACTCCTGCCCAGTACCCCCAAACCAAATCCTATTAATAAATAACCAGCTTACGGTATCTCCCCGTCCCTGCAAAAGCCCTAACCTTCAAAATCAACAACTCATACCACAGGGATTTTGAACCCCCGGCCCTGTCGTACGTATCATCACACGACGAAGACGTGGCAAGGATATCTACTGGGGAAGTATTTAACGAACCATGATGAAGTAACTTCTTCCCAAATATATTTTGTTACTTTTGTTTATATTATTTCAAAATTATACAAACACGAAACTCCTTTTTCAAATCGCAAATACCAGGGGTGGTGAAACGTCACTGTGTGTTAGGTAGGAAGAATTACGTTTCAAGGTTTAACATTTGTAATAAAATAATTTATTTTTCCGATAGACAACTACCCAAGCAGTAAAAAATAAATGGCATATTCAATGTGTCTCGTGAAATTTCATGTTTCTCTCATCTCGTTAAGGGTGAAAAGGAGATATTTGTGGCTACGCCTCTTGTGAAAATATCTTCTTTCGAGATAGATCCACTAAAGTTTACAACAACAACTTTATCTTCAGTTTAATCAGTAAATGAGAACATCTGTATTAGTTAGAACAGGTATAAATACGGACGACATACAGTCACAAATCATTCTGTGGTTGCTTATGAACTGACTCTTTATTTTCTCAGGTCTTGTGTTTTTGTGTGGGTTGGTCATGTACTTCGGTACCTCTGCTAAGCGATTTACGTATAGTACAGATTTACCGCATAAAAACTGCTAATTGCCCATATGATCTATGAGACACCAAAGTCATTGAAATTCGTAAAACATAATATGCATATATTTGTAAATATAAAATGAAAACACTATTTGTGAGAAATAATAATAATAAATAATTAAAAACAAACACCTGGAAACAACACTTGGGAAATCATTGAGTATTTTAAACACAACAAAAACTTTTCAAAAGTCACGTTGAGCAAACTAAAGGCAATCAACCACACAGATCAACTCTGTAGAAGATGCACTGTTCCAGCGCTGTAAAGCCAGCCGTACGGAGTTACTATTACACTACGTTATTATATCTGGAGAATAAAATCCAGAGTTTCGTTGAGGATCGTCAAACATAAATACACCACACAATCAACCTAAGCAACGCACCCCTTACAATACAAGGGCTGACACACACTCTCCAAAGTACAACCAAGTCGTCTGCTCCAGGAGCAGGTGGTATGATTTATTATATACTTCAGTGTGAAAGACTGAGCTTTCTGCTACGCCACTCGTTAATATAGCTCCTTTGTCCCCGTCACTCGATGAGAGACGGATGATGTGTCACCCGACACATGAAGTATCCTCAACATATCTCCTGCTCAACAAACTCTAGATACACGACAAAACACTACCACTTAATCTCTTTACCGCAATCTGTGACACCGCGCAAATACCCACGACATAGACCCAATTCACCCACATCTAATATTATGCAAAATCATGGAAACAATAAACACCACAAAAACTAATCTTATACGTGCAGACCTGAGTGAGTACATGCCATACAGAACCACCCTAGATCACATCCGTTAAACTGAATATGACATCACAGTAGCCCAGGCTAACAAACACTATCTTCAAGCTATGGCTACCGACCTGTTATTTACAATGGCGGTCTAATCGCTAAATTGGCTAACAAAAATATTAATGGGCGCAAATTAAACTTTATACAGAATTTTCTCAACAATCGCACCACAACTATGAAAGTAAACAACATACTTTCGTATCCGCATACCATCCAAAATGGCACCCATCAAGGTAGTGTTTTAACTCCAACACTCTTCAATCTTATGATTGATTACATATTCACGGACATTCGCCCCAAAACAAAAAAACACAAGGCACAATGCAGGAACACACTGAGCAAGCACTGAATGATATCAGGTTCAAAATCAATACTGACAAAGCCGAGCCACATGGGCTTATTTCAAAACGCATGCACGAATATACGTCCCGAAAAAACACATGTCTTGGATAAGTAACATCTGGTGTAGCTGCCCCATGTCATGATATTATCTGCAAACTGAATATGAAATACTGCTAGGTGTAGTGACAGCACTGTAAAGACCTGTAAACATTTTTTGTCCCGAAGCTGAATAACAACCCGTCACAAGCGGGATACGATTTCAGCGCCTGGCGCTTTTTACCGATTTGACCGCTTGCACACTCCGCCCCAATAGCATATGATAGAGGAATAGATAGCATATGTTTTTGTTAACATAACACTATAACCATATTTGACACGCATTCTAGTGCCCGTAAATCAGTACAAACGTCACTGACATAATATGTTGATAATTTGAATACAAAAAGAATTGTATATACGCAACACTTAGCAATATTTCAGCAAAATCTGCAAATAATCGAGTCTGCATCAGACAATCCAGTGATTGACATAATGAGCATCGATCCACGCAGTTGAGATACGGTGACATGTATCAACCAAGTCAGCGATCCTGACCCCCGCTCCCGTTAGTCGCCTCTTACGACAAGCGTTGTCGCCTTTTAGTCCTATTCTACCCCGGATCTTCACGGGTCGAATACATTAAGGAGCACGTGCCTGCAAGCATGTCAAGTTTGATACCTGCATCGTCATCGCCCTGTCTTGTACAATCCCTTGTCTTCTGATCACACGCTACACAGTCCCCACTACATCTGTGTTGACACTCACTCCCGTAGGCCCCGTCCTTACACCCACGACTACAGCGACCATCTTCCTCACACACACCATCCACACTCGACCCACCACAACGAGCAGTTCAGTAAGTGCCATGATACCCTCGTGAACAGTTGATGCATGGCCCATTACCACATACGTCACATCTCTCTCCCAACCATCCATCATTACAAGCTGAACATCTGCCATGGTGGTCACACACGTTGTTTCCACAGCGCAGACAGTTCTTCTGACAATGTGTCCCATCATACAACCATTCCTAGAAACTAATGTCTCTTCCATTTTGGGGGGTGGTCGGGTAGCCTAGTGGTTAAAGCTCACGTTCGTCACGCTGAAGACCCGGGTTCGATTCCCGACATACGTACAATATGTGAAGCCCATTTCAGGTGTCGCCCGCCGTGATATTGCTGGAATATTGCTAAAAGCGGAGTAAAACCATACTCATTCACTCACTCTCACATGTTTAGAAAATTTAATTATTTCTGAATATCCCCCAATTTGTTAAGGAGTATGTTTAGAGAAGTTACTTTTCACCTGGTACTGGTGAACTTAGTAGTATTTAGTAGTGGAATTGCTGACAACTGACAAAAACATTTGGATAACGAGTATTCATCCGTCATCCGGCATTCAAGTCATTTCACTTAAGTTTATATTAATAGATCACTGACCGACATGTATTTTGAAAGCTTGGTGACTTGCCTTTATAACTTTGTAAAGATAAATCAAACATGTGATATAGGCCTTTGTTATATGCAACAGTTGTGTGTACGCGTCAGAAGTTATATTCGCCCAAACATCTACCGCTTTACGCATGCAAATCAAGGACAGATGAGTATGTTTCTAATAGAGCCTATTGGGCGCTTGCCTTTTAGATCACAAAACGCACACACGACTAAACGGTCCGAATAATCACATGTCTGGAATACGTAACAGCTATTATCACATCTTCATGTTAGAATGATGAGATCTGATTGGTCCACGTGATCGTGACAAACTACTGCGTGGCAATACAGGCTGCACATAGATTTCTCAAAGGCAGATTGAATCCCTTGTACACCGCTTCAAAGCCAACAGCCGCACGCTCTTTCCGAGTCAACCTCAGCTCAATCAAACAACTATTTATCAAGGTGAGGTGAGGTGAAATTGGACGTCGCGTTCAAGATTGTTGCACTTATATGGCAACGTGCATGCACGTGTATGTGTTTGTATGGCTGCTTGTACTAGTCCGGACTGATGCCGATTGATAGTGCTAGCTCAACATGCATACCCTACTCAGACACAGCATACTGACTCCGAGCCGACCAGTCCTTGTTTTTAGCCCCTTAATGCCGAGCGCCAGACATGGTAACAACAAGTACCATCTTTTAACGTATGACGCGGCCGGGGATTCTAGTGTGCGTAGATCAGTACAAACGTAACTGGTATTATATGTTGATAGTTTGAATACATTAAGGAGCATGTGCCTGCAAGCACATCAAGTTTGATACCTGCATCGTCATCGCCCTGTCTTGTACAATCCCCTGTCATCCGATCACACGCTACACAGCCCCCACTACATCTGTGTTGACACTGACTGCCGTAGGTCCCGTCCTTACACCCACGACTACAGCGACCATCTACCTCACACACACCATCCACACACGACCCACTACAACGAGCAGTGCAGTTAGTGCCATGATACCCTCGTGAACAGTTGATGCATTGCCCGTGGCCACATACGTCACATCTCTCTCCCAACCATCCATCAATGCAAGCTGAACATCTACCATGGTGGTCACACACATTGTTTCTACAACGCAGACATTTCTTCTGACAATGTGTCCCATAATACCCTTGTACACAGCCCTTCACACACGATCCATCATGGCCGTAACACAGGGAAGACTTGCAGGAGGTACTGCACGGCGTGTGACACCGCGGACCGTGCCACCCAGTAACACACCCTTCCTGGCAAGCTGCAGTACTTCGGTTACAGTGTCTGTGTCCATCTCTTCCTTTGTAGCACTTCTCAGGACACGTTTCGTTGCAGTGATGGCCATGGTAACCAGGCTGACACTGTTCACATATTCCAATCTGTCTGTCACAGCCAGTGGTCCAGCAATGTTGACATCTCTCCTCACACTTTTGTCCATAGAAGCCTGCTTCACATCCATGTAGACAGTAGCCAGTGTTGCTGCATCTCCCCATCAGACAGTTGTCACAGGTTGTGTTACAGAAGTCTCCTGTCCATCCTCCCTCACACCCAGCCAGACACTGTCCTGTATGCTGGTGACAGACTGGCCCCTTGCAGTTGGTCGGACATCGTTTATCACAGTGTACTCCAGTCCATCCTCCATCACAAGATTCAGAGCAAGCACCTGTGTGTCGGTCACAGTAGACAGCGCCACCTACCCTACTGCTGGAACATCGTCGTGCACAGAGTGTGACGCAGTGTAGCCCATATAACCCTGGCGTACATCTGAAACATTCCCCAGTGTGTCTGTCACATCCGTCTGTGTGACAACTTCCTTCGCAAGGAGAGCTGCAGTTTGATCCGTGACACCCGATGGTACATGACTGACATCTAAGCCGACCATTTCCATGTCTACAACCACTTGTGTTACATAGGTCGTTACTCGGGGGCACTGAAAATACATATTTTTATGGTTATTGTATGGTAAATTCGAAGTAACAGACAAAAATATAAGTGATGTGTCGTTTAAGAAACGATATTATTATCCTTCAAGTAGATTCCACAAATGATATAATTATATCTCAGGTTCGTTTTTACTTTTATCAAATAACCACCCTAGACACTCAATGTGACATGCAGAATATAATTTCATTCTATCACTTGTATACATGTACTCACCAAAAGAGTCTGTGAGCGCCAGCATGGCAAGGATCATCACCCCGAGAAATAGGATCTGTCCACTGTTCATGGTTCAAGGAGGCAAGCAGTTTGTCCTGACTGATGAAAATATATATAAGGATAAGAAGATTACTGCCTAAGTTAAAGATTTCTGCATAAGTTACAAGTGTTATATTTCAAGCTACACCCTTCACACTGGCATCGTCATGAACAACAGCATAGCACATATATCGTAATAAACCATGCCGACTAAGGGACCGACCATGGGTGGGTTTGGAGTGGGGACGAGATAGTGTGATCAGCTGCGAAACCAGATGGCTTTTCATATTAAGACTATGACCCTAAATAAGTTTTTGTAAAAGTTACCTTGCAGCAATGTATTTTTTTGTGTCAGACAATTTCTTTCCTTTTCAACAGACTGCAAATAATTATTTTTGTCACGAATGTTCTGGGATAATTTACTGTTTTCGATAAAATCCCAGGCTGGGTCATGGTATGATGAGTTCGATAGTCTCAGACAGCTGGGTTTATTATTCAGTGTCGGCAAGCATCCTAGACTAAGGTGTCTGAGAAGTGTAGCTCATTTACAGAAGCAACTGGGAAATCGGTCTGCTACATTTTGTTGTTTAAATCATTGTCTTCATATCAAAATTCTATATACTTAATACTTTATATACTTACCTTTGCATCAAATATAAACACACCGGTACATACCTTACAGTCATAACCCGATACGACGTTATCTGACAGTCAAGTGAACTGAACTGATTTACTCTGCACGTGGTTATAAGCCTTATATGTACACGCTATCAGGACACCATGGTCTGTACTAACATATTGTCAAAGGGGATTCCCCGTGAGCACACTTTGGCACAGCGATGACTATTAACTTTGTACAAAGTATTTGAATGATCCGCGATAAGACGGTCGTTCTGTTAAATTTGTGAGTGCTATCAGTCATCACTGTGTCAAAGAAGTGTGCTCACGGAGAATCCACTTTGAAAATGTGTTTGTAATAATTCTGTTATGTTTATCCTTTTTAGCTAAATTAGCAATAAATCAACATAACCTGCCCATACTGGATCAAGGCGGTTAGTCCAGTGTAACAAGGTTCTGAAACATCAACCACCGTTCTAACTTTGTATTACAGCCATGACTAGTGTGTCCTCTGATATCAGCTGGCTCGGTAACGGTATCACGGTAGTTCGGAGACAAGACAGGGCAACATTTGCTACACTTGGTCCAGTATCGGGTGTAGACAGGTCTTGAATCAGGCAAAGTTAAGCAACGTTGATGGCGGAGAGTAACTGTATGGGTGACCACGTTCGGCAGCTTGAGCTCATGAGAGTTTCTGGGGTTTCCGCACCGAACCACATGTAGCAGATGTGGTGACTCTTCAAGTAGCTTTGTTCCCCCGGGAAAAAACTAGGGAGTGTTAACCTTCTAGCGACTAACGGGCAGCTTGGGTTGTATATTCCCGAGGGAGCTGAGAATGTATTTCCAGTGACCAACACTAAATTATGGTGTGTGTGTGTGTGTGTGTGTGTGTGTGTGTGTGTGTGTGTGTGTGTGTGTGTGTGTGTGTGTGTGTGTGTGTGTGTGTGTGTGTGTTCTTAAGTGTGCCTGTGTGTTTGTGTAGGATTGCGTGCTTGTGTGCGTGCATGACTGTATAAGTAATTTGGTGTGTGCGTGTGTGTGTGCGCCTATTTGTGTGTGTGTGTGTGTGTGTGTGTGTGTATGCGCGCGCGCTTGTGTGTGTGCGTGCGTGTTCAACGAATTTCATCGCTTAATCTCAACTTTAAACAATGAGTTGGTATATGTCTTAATTTACCTTATCCAGATCATGACGTTATACGTATGATTTTATGTCTAGTGTCTCGTAGGCCATACCTGGTTGGATGTTATATCTTATTGTTTGTGTACGTGTTTTAGTAGACCCGTGAAGATCCGGGGTTGAATAGGTTTTCAGCAACTCGTGCTTGCCGTAAAAGTCGACTATGCTTGTCGTAAGAGGCGACTAACGAGAGCGGGTGGTGCGTGTCATCGATCCCAATTGCGTGGATCGATGTTCATGATGTAAATCACTGGATTGTCTGGTCCAGACTGGATTATTTACAGACCGCGGTCACATAGCTGGAATATTGCTGAGTGCGGCGTAAAACAACAAACAAAAAAAAAAAAACGTGTTTTAGTATGAAGTGTATATAACAGGTGACACTTTAATAAACATGACATCCGACATTCGACATTCTTTCGCTGTGCACAATTTCATGTCGATCATTATTTTAATAATATATGGACTTTCATTAAGACCTCGATTACAGAGTTTTTTCTATTATATGTGTAGATGATTGTCACGGCCAGGAAAGCAGTTTTAGTTGATCTATGCTCATAAAAATAAATCTGAATGTGAAATATATCTAGGAAACTTAGTTTTCCCCTAGTAGCGGTGAACTTGTTAATAGTATTGGGACTCCGACAAGCGCTGGGAAACGTGTAGATATGAGTCGTCCGGAATTTTTAAAAATCAGTAGGGTTTAACTTAATATATCACTGACATACATTTGAAAGCTTGGCGACGGGCCATTGTGATTAAGAGACTATTTATTGCTTTGTCGGAAGTATCTGACAGATTTCTCTTGGCAAGTCTAGTTTACTGTTATTAGTGGAGCTTGAAAATACAGTCATACTTCACGTGCCGTTAACAACTCCGAACTGTTTCAATACATGTACTATAGATCAACACATATGCAACAAATACATCACGCATAAAGTCCTTATAAACACGACCCACTCATCTAAACAAGAGTGCTATCTACGTCAACCTAGACAAACTGGTCTGGCCAGATAGAAACTAGCAGAAATTAAACTGTTGCTTTGATTAAACGCCATGTTTGTCAAGGACTACATGTCATGATGTATCGATTCTAAATTTATTTCAGACATCAACGGGTGACGACACCTGCTGAAACATACTGAACAAGAAAAGATAGGAATCGTGAATATCGGTTTTTGTTCAGCTTCTTATAATTATTCGTAATAAAATTTATTGCGCGTTTTCTCAGGAACATATAGTAGAGCCATGGGGCCAAATTTTATATGATATTTTATAGGAGATAAATCGGGGATTTTTTAACAGTTCGGTGTATCTGTTTGTTCGCTATATCCGTGTTCGTTAAATCCGTGTTCTTCTGTATATATATATATATATTTAAGTTTAAGTTAGATATATATATATATATATATATATATATATATATATATATATATATATATATATATATATATATATATATATATATATAACTTAAACTTAAATATATTTGTATAGATCCGCTGCTGTCCACGTAACTGACAAACCAGTGACTCTTGATTATCTAACTCAGCGAAACTACCATGGCAGGGTTATTCCCCAAACGAAACATGCTGCGCATCATCATTTTAAATAGATAGGTAGGAATAAAAAGGTCAGTGCACACAGTGCAATTAATACACCCGGCATGTTGCAGATTGAGATTACAGTTTCACTATCAGGCATTCTACAGAAGGCCTGAGGTGATAGCCGAGTAATCAGCTGTACCAGACTTTACTCATCATCAACAACCCTCCACAACATCACTGTAAATAAAGAGACAAAACATTTTCCATATCCAATAGAAATGTTTCCACAGAGCACAGCCGATTGTACGATTCCGACTATATCATGAGCATGTGTTTATGAATCAGTATCAAATAGTAATGATACCAGGTGTTCGCGAAAAGGTGAGCGTATCCTGCCCCACCAGTGGTACCCATCACAAACACATGCAAAGGCAAGTCAATTGTTCGCCTAAAAAAGACAGGAAACATATGGTACAAGTCAAAATAGGGAATTGCATCGGACATCATTTTTGTCACAAATGCGTCAAATTTTGAAATGTCCTCCACATGTCCACCGTAAGACTTTTTGAAAGATTTACTGAGGCCTTGAATGTTGTAACTTTGAGCAAACAATTTCTGAGCAAGAGTCGTATGACGCTCTTTGAAATCTTGGTAGAAAGAGCATGCACGATTGTATCTCAAAAGTCGTGAAATGTGAACACCAAAGGCTTGAGCTGCTGGATTATTGCTCGACATGAAAGGAACGTTGATTTTTTGGAAAGTTTAAGTCTTCCCTCTTGACATACAGTTTTGTGGAGAGTATTTTGTCACTCTGAATCTTTCTGCATAGATCTAAATATGAAACAGATGGGCTGCTATATTTCTTGTTCGGGTGGGTAAAACACTGGAAGGGAATGGGCAATTTGATTGTTATTGAACGATATCAGATCATCGATATACCTGAAGCTGAAGTTAAACTTCTTGGCCAGATTTCCTTGTTTTGATTTGCCGAACAGAAATTCATAAGCATAAAGAAACAGATCAGCAAGGGGAGGAGCACAATTGGCGCCCATAGGGATGCCTACTCCTTGCCTAAATGTCTTACCTAAATAATTTACCTAGATTATCAATGAGAAAGTTCAGCATATCACGTATTGCTTTCTCAATATACTTTAGATGTCATTTGCTTTCATGTTTCACAAATTGTCCTGAACCTCTAAATATAGATACGTGACTCTATCTGTGGTCACCCCGTTTTGTAACAAAATCCCCATGGATCAAGGAATGAAGTCTCCCCTTAAGTTTGTCATGTGGGATAGTGCTGTACAAAGTTGAAAAATCAAATGTTTTGAAAGAATGGAACTTGGTTCTATTCTGAGATTGCTAAAAGGTCAAGCAAATCCTTTGAGTTTTTGAGAATCAACCTGGTATTAATTCCAATTGTTGTTTCAAATACTTTGTATGAATATAACGAAAGTCTTTCCTTGATTGTATTAAGGGTAATGGTTAGTCTTTCAGACAGGGGTTTGATGGTACATTTGCAGGACCCAGCAATATAACTCTCATTGTACGGATGTTAATGGAGCTTTGGAATCCAGTACAAAAAAAGGAATGGGCTTGTTTTCAGGTTTTAGAGTTAAGTCAAAAGGACAGGAACTTATCAGAGACTTCCACGTGCATAAAAAAACACAGGCTGGACGCAGTCGTAAGCACAAACCGTCACACAAATATTTTGTCTAATCTCTCATAATAGTTATCTTTGGGACTGATAGTCCCATTTTTGTTTCATTTTGAGTGATTAGATGTTGATGACAAACATGCAGGGCATCCTGTGTTATCAAATACTAGAAGGATGAAGGGGCGGTCGGGTAGCCTAGTGGTTAAAGCGTTCGCTCGTCACGCCGAAGACCCGTGTTCGATTCCCGACATGGGTACAATGTGTGAAGCCCATTTCTGGTGTCCCCCGCCGTGATATAGCTTGAATAGTGCTAAAAGCGGCGTAAAACCATACTCACTCACTCACTAGAAGGATGATAGATGCAAGTGGCATCTCTTCAAACGCATCTCTCACAATCAACCAGTTATCTAGTGAGTGAGTGAGTTTATGCTTTACGTCATATACTTTAAAGTTTCAGCCTTATCGTGAAGTTATCTATTAACATAGATTATGAACGCATCATCATTTTCAATAGATATCAGCTAGATGGGACTATAAAGGTGCACTCCGTAAATAAGAAATACACTCTTCAAAAACAGAAACGCAGAGGTAGATTTTTAGTAAATGTATTGTACCTAATGAAGTCGATATATTTGATTTATTATCATAGATACAAATAAGAAGTTTTGGAGCTGAATACCGACGATAGTCACATGTTGTCG